GTTACTTCCACCAATGGTCCTCCGACTATCGTGATTTTCCTAAATTGGTCCTCGTCTTTTAATTTGGACGAAAAAGACACTTGACTTTCAGATTTGTTCTAACATTAGTCCTTCCGTTAACTTTCAATTAATTAGGCGTTAGTGTAGAGGATAAAATGGTCATTTCATTAGCTATGTCTTTAAGCAAATTATACAACCGTAATTAGGCGTTAGTGTATACTTCCTACTACTTCACTACCGGAAAGGTCCAAACGCCGAGAAGAAACGGTGGTTGCTGTGTCAATTGTAGCCACCGCGCCGCCGGAAAGCATGTTGAGAGGAGTCCGTCGTTGCCTCCTGCCCTGTTCGTCGAGAAAAAACAGGGGTCACCGGAAGCTCAGTGAGAGAGCAACTCGCTGGGGAGATCTAGCCGCCGCCACTATTAGTTAGCGTCATTGCCAACCACTGCTGCAACGTTAAGAGGGAACCAGAGCATGAAGCTACCTTCGCTGGATCCATTGTAGCCGCCACGCTGCCGGAAAGCATCATCATCAACTTCGCTAGATCTCCCGCTGCTACTTCTTGCCGCTAAATAGATCTGCTACAACAGAAGGTTGCCGGAGCTCATTGGAGGCCGAAACTGCCGAGGAGAACCAAGCTGCTACGCTGATCTACTCACGTCGGATTGGAGGACGCCTTCTTGCTGCCGAAAAAACTGCTACGTCGGAGAAGGAAGCTCGCCACTACTCCACGCTGTCGCCAGTGAAGAGCTGCTTGCACCGGTCACCGCCATTTAGCACTTAACTTCCTTGAGACCATGGGCAAAGTACAAGAATGTTGGGTCTGTGGAACCACCTTGTAGTAAGCAAACACAAGAGTGCTATTGTCAGCCATGCTATCCCCCACAAAAAATTGCTACAAATTGCATGCTACAAATTGCTTCTTACTTGATGTATTTCTTAATGTATGCTACAAATTGCTTCTTATCAAAGGCAGGTTACTCTTGGAGTCTGGAAGTGTCAACAATGTCGACCACCTTAACAGTTTGGTCATCAACTCCCTCATCCTCATCAGCACCTTCTGCAGATGGGTTTGCCCTAATATCTACTTTAACTGCTCCCTGGAACACCGACTCTCCCTCAACTTCCCACAGAACCCCGTTCTCAATTTCTTTGTAGAAAAATGAGTTAGAGAGAAGCTCATCACCAGTTAGTAAATCCTGATAGACCAGCATGGTTGATAGCTTGAGCTCTCTCGGGATGCTCCGAACATAGATTGAATCAGGAAGAGAGAGCAGAGAGAGCTTCACTGGAGAATTGAAGAAGATAACTAGGAAAAGACCCTTTTACCCCTTAACTTAACGTCTATATAACTTTTAGTTAACGGAAGGACTAATGGTGGAACACTTTTGATAGTCAAGGGTTTATTTTGTCTAGATTAAAAGACGAGGACCAAATTTGGAAAATCACAATAGTCAGAGGACTATTGCTGGAATTAACTCCATATTGTTGTAATTCGACCTATCAACTCGTTAGTTCTCGCGTGATGTTTGCACGGTAATGCTTGGAGATTGTATGTATATGAGTATATAGAATAGATAAGTAAAAGGGAGAGGAAGAACACAATGTATAGAACACAATCACATGAGACCATCTTTTCATTAAGCCATCACCCTCAATTTATAGGGATGATTACAACCTTTCACATCCTTTAACATAAGTAATGAAATAAGTAAACGCTAACAAAAGGTCAAAAGTTTAATGGCCATAATAATAAAATATTTATAACACTCCCCCTTGGCCATTAAATAACTATACTCATGCCTCGTTAAAAACCTCGCTAGAAAAACCTAGTGGGAAAAACCTAGACGAGGAAAAGAGTACACGAAGTATGTTGATCCATGTGTTGCACTGGTTGCCTCATTAAAAACCTTAGCCTAAGAAAACCCAGTGGGAAAAAACTTAGTCAAGGAAAAGAGTACAACCATAAGCCTTCTGGGCATAATCTTCAAGATTTCAAGGGTCTTCAGGACTATCCACTCAAGTGCACCAACATCGGTTGCCTCATTAAAAATCTTAGCCTAAGAAAACCATGTGGGGAAAAACATAGGTAAGGGAAAAAGAGTACAACCATATGCTTGCATAGCATAATCTTCAGGATTTCAAAAGTCCTCTAGATTGTCCATTCTAGCACAGTTAGGGATTGTCGCTCCCCCTGAAGATAACAATCTTCAAAGCCTACGCATCCCAATTTTATAAACATATTACTCAAAAGTGGATGTAGGCAGAGACTTAGTGAACATATCTGCAAGATTATTCACTAGAACGAACTTTCTCAACATGAATTTTACCACTCTTCTGGAGTTCATGTGTAGAACGACTTAGGTGCAATATGTTTTGTAAGGTTTACAGCAGTCCAGTTCTAATACAGCTAATGAAGTCGAGCAAGGGGTGGTAGACCAAGGGATCTTATCACAGCATTCCAATTCTGATGGTATGTCCAGAACTAATAATGAGAGCATGCATGCAATACATCAGTGTGATCACACCTCACATGAGACAATCAATGATGATGAGGTTCAACCAAGAAGATCGAGTAGACAAAGGCAGTTTCCAAACAGACTTAAGACTATCTCTGTGAAGCTGTGATCAGTAAAGGTCCATCTCCACATTCTCTTTCTAAGGTCATAACTTTTGATGCACTTGAACCATCACACAAATGTTTTTCTATGGCTGTGACTTCTGCTAATGAACCAAAGTCCTACAACCAAGCCATTAAAGATCAACATTGGAGGGAAGATATGAAGACAGAGATCCAAGCACTGCAGGATAATAAAACATGGGAGTTAACCACTCTTACTGCAGGGAAAACACCCATAGGCTGCAAATGGGTCTATAAGGTGAAGTTAAAGGCTGATGGTTCAGTTGAAAGATACAAGGCACGTCTTGTGGCAAAAGGGTACACACAACAACTAGGGGTTGATTATATTGAGACATTCTGACCGGTTGCTAGAATCACAACCATTCGGACCTTCCTAGCAATTGTAGCTTCGAAGGCTTGGTATATTCATCAAATGGACATAAATAACGCATTCTTACATGATGATTTGACTGAAGAAGTTTATATGATCATACCGCCCGGTTTTCAACCTGAGAAGCCAAACGAAGTGTGTTAACTGCTCTGATCTCTCTATGGTCTTAAACAAGCTAGCCGCCAGTGGAATGCAAAATTAAGCATTGCTCTGTCCAGTATGGGGTTAACTCAGTCCAAGGCTGATCCGTCATTGTTTACTAGAGGACAAGATGGCACCTTCATAGCAGTTCTCGTGTATGTAGATGACATATTGGTCACTAGTCCTGATTTGAACCTAATCAGTGATCTCAAAATAGTGCTTGATAATGCTTTCAAGATTAAAGATTTGGCGAAGTTAGGGTATTTCCTAGGGATTGAAGCGAGATTAGATGATGAAGGCTTGAATCTCTATCAAAGGAAATACTCTCTAGACATCCTAGCAGAAGCAGGTTTCCTTGAATCAAAACCTGTAAGTACTCCAATGGTTCCTGGTTATCATCTCAACCACACGGATGGTGAACCACTCAATGATGTCAATGGCTATAGAAGACTCGTTGGACGTCTCTTATATCTCACGGCCACGAGACCGGACATATCTTACGATGTGCAACAGTTGAGTCAATTCATTGACACTCCCACTGACAAGCACCTAAGTGCAGCTCACAGAGTACTTCGGTATATAAAGGGGACACCAGGTCAAGGTATGTTCAATCCCAAGGACAATGCCTTACAGCTTAATGTTTTTTCAGACTCCGATTGGGCTGCGTGTGTAGAAACGAGAAGGTCCATAACTGGATTTTGTGTTTTCCTTGGTTCTTCGCTCGTTTCTTGGAAATCAAAGAAACAAGCAACGGTATCAAGATCCTCATCTGAAGCAGAGTACCGAGCTCTCGCTTCTTCTATTTGTGAGGTACAATGGTTAATGTTTTTACTTGCAGGCATGCAGACCTCTATGCGGCAGTGGTATTCTGTGATAATAAATCTGTTGTAGCTATGGCCGAAAATAAAGGGTTTCACGAGAGAACGAAGCACATCGAGATAGACTGCCACCTCGTTCGAGAAAAGGTCTCCCAAGGCTTAATTAAGCTACTGTCAGTATCATCAACAAATCAAATAGCAGATGGTTTTACTAAACCTTTACCCATCACAATGTTCAGAACTTTTGTGTCTAAGCTGGGCATCCAGAACCTGCATGCGCCACCTTACCGGGGGGAGGGGGTGTTGGAGAAGAATAAAAGGGTTGAATAGTAATTTTCATTATAGATTAGTTGTAACCGCCTTTTACCTCCAATTCCTTTTGTACAAATGCTTTCTCCTGGCTTCTGTTGACACATTGAATAAAACAAGTTCACTTTCTCTCTCTCTCCTCTTCGTACTTCACATAAAAAAGTATTCATTTATATCATCATAGTTCCTCCACTGGGAATATTTTGATTTCCCCTTCTGATCTGCTCCTTTTAGCTTCATAATCAAAGTTGTGAAGAGGGTTAACAAATATTTTCACCCCTTTACCACGATATCAATATTTCAATTCTATCAATTCAACACTTTACCACAATCAATTGCACACTACATACACCAAACTCTATCAATATACTAACTATCAAAACTACTAAATAAATGAATAAATAAAACAAATACAAGTATCAACACATTATTAAAATTAACTAAAAACATGAATGCAAACATTTAACACTCCATCATAATTAGCCGTCAGAACACAATAAGATACATAAAAACACTGCAAATAGGTCACTTGTATAGAACAATTCAAAGGCAATAAAAAAAAAGGAATATAATATGACAAGATACATACCAACACTGCAAATTGGTCATGAAGATAATTCCTGTTTCTGTATTAAACTACTCGAAAATCACATTAAAAATTTATTGATACAGTCAAATTAATACTAAAATAAGTAGTATTATCATCAATGGGGACTGTAGGAACTTATCAAGTTTTACAAATGTTGGCACTGCAGAGTAAAATGCTTTAGAAAGGAAGTGACTGTAGGAATCAAAACAAGTAACAAAGAAAATTGCCTCCAACAGGTAAGTGATTTCAAATCCCGTGAAATTGTCAATGAAAAAAGTTATTGTAATACAATAATACACAATTATGTCAAGGACATATTATGTATAAACATAAATTAAACAATGCATAAAGCTGGAAAATTACCTAATGAAGGAGAAACGAACAACTACCGCTGCTGTGTGAATCGGAGAAGGAGAAACGAATTGAATGGCAACTGCTGCTTGTGTCCTTGCAAGCTTAGAAGTTAGAACAGGAATGGAATACTTGCCACAGTGCTTTAAACCATGATCTCTGCATTGCTTTGCAATGTCACTAAAAATGCTCAAGGTCATTTTTCTTTATTCAAGTGTTGGTATTCTTTTCCTGCAAAAACATACCTAAGAAATTAAGTGAAGAGCAAAGAAGTGACATCCCCACATATAATTTACAAAGTAAATTTGAAGAAAGACCTTCTGAGCAGAGATCCTTTTTATCAAAAGTTGTAAGCAAATGCGAACCTGTTTCAAAATATTTATGAAAAAGCAAAAGAAGTTTCATAATAGTGAGTAAAATGGTAAAAAGTTCAAAGGGAAGTAAAACACTTTGCTGTGTTACCCTCTAGGTTAGCTCCCCTTCTCCACATTCTAGTCCCTAAATAGAATGCCACCATATTGAACATCAATATTTGACCATTACTCTTTTGCTTACAGATATAAATGGCGCATGATGACGAAAAATGGGGGAAATGAAATATTTTGTAGATTATAGATCTGAAAATGTTAGCTTACAGATCTGGATGACAGCAGCGGTGGAAATCTTCTGGCAAGCCTCTGGCATCATTCTTCGCAGCCATCGGCGGAGGTGTACTTGGTGTACGAAGGAGAACCGGCGACCTTTGCTACTATGCGAAGGAGAACCAACTGTTGGGGAAAAATTCGGATAGAATATGTCGTAGACCTGGGGCTACTGTTTTTTATAGGCTGAGAATGGATGAATCCTGAAGGGATCGGTGACGTGTGCAAGACACTACTTTAAAAGCAAAAATTTCCCGGAGACGGTTGTAGTCTTACCGGTTGCTTTCGACCAGTTAACACCGAAGCTCAGGATTGCAGAAGAGAAGAAGAGAATTTGATGAGTGAATATTACTGAGGAGAAGCAGGGTATTTATAGTATTGAAAATACCCGCCCCTCCCCTCTCAGCCATTCATGCTCCACGATTTTAGGGAGAATTGTAGTGAAAATGCCCTCCACGATTTTAGGGAGAATTGTGGTGAAAATGCCCACAAGAATAGGAAGACTTGTTCCACCACAACTTAATGTGTGGATGGTAGATTTCTACATGAAATCTACCTCTCAAAGGGAAAAACTCGACCACGACGCGCGAGCCGAGCCGGGCGGCGGCGGCGCGCGCGTGTGGGGTTCCCTTTCCTTCTCTCTCTACAATAGTTTAAGCCTTCCAAATGGGTTGGTATTAAAAAGGTGGGAATTAGTCCCTTATCCTTCCAATGTGGGACAAGAGTGTCTTCCTTCTACACACTTTAAACCACCATCTTGAATGTAATCTCCAACAATCCCCCACACATTCAAGGTGGCAAGAAGAAGACAGAATTTCTGGCATGAGTGCTGATCTTAATGTCAGTGGTTGTACCTTGAACTGACACGTAGTGACTTGAGTAAATTTCTCCTTTGATAGTGAATTAGATCTTGAACTATCGAAAGAAGAGTTAGTTTTGAACTCAGTTCACACACCAGCAATCACCCTGTAAGAATATATAACTTGGTCTTTCTCGTAATGTCAACTCTTTGACCTGAGACCTATCTCTGAATAGGTGTGTTTAGCTTCCAGGTTTATATAACCTCGATGTTTGCTCACTGTATCGCTATTAAGCCCATCTCCCTCGATGTTTTGAGGATGGCTCTTTTGTTTAGCCCCTTCGTGAGAGGATCTGCAATGTTCTTTTCGGATTTCACATATTCTAGTGAAAGTACGCCACTTAGAATTAGTTGTCTCACAGACTCATGTCTGACTCTTATGTGTCTCCTCTTACCATTATAGGCACTATTTTTGGCTACGCATATCGCAGCTTATGAGTCACAATGTATGGGCACTGACGACGTAGAAGACCCCCACAAAGGCACGTCTGCTAGTAGGTTTCTAAGCCACTCAGCCTCTTGCCCTGCTAGATCAAGAGCTATAAATTCAGCTTCCATCGTTGATCTGGCTATGCATGCCTGTTTCGTGGACTTCCACGATACTGCTGCTCCTCCCATGGTAAAAACATACCCGCTGGTGGAGCTCACCTCATCACTATCATTCACCCAATTCGCATCGCAATACCCCTCTAGGGACGCTGGGAAGCCAGAAAAGTGCAATCCCCAGTTCATCGTTCCCTTTAGATAGCGTAACACCCTCTTTAGTGCATTCCAATGGGTATCGCTGGGATTATGAGTGTATCGACTTAGTCGATTTACCGCAAGTGCAATATCAGGTCTGGTATAGTTCATTAAGAACATCAGACTCCCAATTATTTTCGCATATTCCTCTTGAGACACACTTGCCTCTGTGTTCTTCGAGAGTTTTGCACTTGGGTCATATGGAGTTTGAGCAGGGTTCACTTCAAAACTGTTAAACTTCTTTAGCAGTTTCTCTGTGTAGTGACCCTGTGATAACTTGTAGCCATCTTTCTCTTTGATGACTTTCACTCCAAGTATCACATCAGCTTCGCCCATATCTTTCATATCAAACTTGTCACACAGAGACCTCTTTGTCTCTTTTATTGCATTTATATTCGAGCTAAAGATTAGCATATCATCTACATAAATGCAAATCAAGACAATGCTAGACTCAATCTCTTTTGAGTACAAACAAGCATCTGATCGGTTTACCGTGTATCCCAGATCTAACAGTGTTTTGTGGAACTTCTCGTACCACTGTTTGGGAGCTTGCTTTAACCCATATAGGGATTTTACTAGTCTACATACCTTCCCTTCTTACCCGGGGTTGGCGCATCCAGGAGGTTGAGACATGTAAATTTCTTCTTCCAGGTCTCCATTTAGGAAAGCTGTTTTTACATCCATTTGATGGACCAGCCACTTGTGAGAGGACGCTAGAGCAAACAATATGCGTATTGTGGCTATTTTCGTTACAGGAGAATAGGTGCAGAAGTAGTCTTCACCAAACTTCTGTTTATATCCCTTAGCCACAAGTCTTGCTTTGTACCTTTCAATCGACCCGTCGGGTCTCATCTTCCTTTTGAAGATCCACTTACAACCAATAGGTTTGGCTCCCTTCGGTAGGTCTACAACCTCCCAAGTGTGATTAGATTTGATTGAATCTAGCTCACTTTGTATTGCTTCTTTCCAGAAGACCGCATCGACTGAGTGCATAGCTGCCTCAAAGGATTTTGGTTCCTCCTCTAGAATTAACTAACACACAAACTGATCAGAAATTTCATTAATGTCATTTACTTCAGAAATACCGTAATGAAATCAGGCCCAAAACTTGTCTCGGTCCTTTTTCTCTTACTCCTTCTAGGTTCTTCTGACTCAAGTTCTGTTTCAGAAGTTGAAGGTAGTGAGGACGAGATTTTTTCATAAGTATTTGATCCACGTTTTAGTGGGAATATGTGTTCGAAGAACTCGGCCTCTCGTGCCTCGCACATAGAGTGGCCGTCTAGGTACATAAATCTATATGCAGCGCTATTTTCTGCATACCCCACAAATATTGCATATGAGGTTTTAGGGCCAAGATTAGGTTTCTTGAAGTAAGGAAGACCTACCTTGGCCAGGCACCCCCACACTTTGAAGTATTTTAGATTGGGTGCGTAACCTTTCTATAGCTCATATGAAGTTTTTTCATAACCTTTGTGAGGTATCCTGTTGAGGACGTGGTTAGCTGTTAATGCAGCTTCCCCCCACAAAGAGTTAGAAGCGCCTGCGCTTATTAGAAAAGCATTTATCATTTCCTTTAGGGTTCTATTTTTCCTTTCAGCCACACCATTTTGTTGTGGTGTATAGGGTGCTGTCACCTCATGAATGATTCCATGTTTTTCACAAAAGGTTTTGAGGGAGGTAGACTCATACTCTCCACCTCTGTCAGACCTAAGTCTTTTTATCTTTTTCTCTAGCTGATTTTCTACTTCAGTTTTAAAGCTTACAAATTTTTGTTCTGCCTCATCTTTAGTTCTAAGCAGATATATCTTTGAAAACTGAGTGAAATCATCTATAAAGGATATATAATATCGCTTTCCTCCTTTTGTCTCAGTATTTTTAAAATCAGCTATGTCTGAGTGTATTAACTCTAGAGCACAAGTTGTATGATGCTTTGCAGTAATGAAAGGTTTTCTAGCTAGTTTAGCTTCAGCACATACTTCACATTGAGAAAGCGAATCATCTTGCACGTTTGAGAGCATATTCATGGTTTTGAATCTACTCATGCATTTGAGACCAACGTGTCCTAATCTAGCATGCCATACATCAAAAGAAACAGCAATATACGCAGAACCGCCATTACGTGTGGCAAGATTATTCATGAATGTTTCAAAGTTTGCAGAAGTGAATGCAATGAGGGGCAAAACAAACAGCCCCCCACGTAAATAAGCCTTCCCTAGGTACTCCCCTCTACGGGTCATGATCATCCTCTCGGATTCAAACAAAAGTTTGATCCCGGCCCTAACCAACAAGGGCCCTGAGACCAAGTTCCTCCGCATAGTGGGGACATACAACACATTAGACAGAAACAGATACTTTGTGGAATTGAGTTTTATCTCTACTGTTCCTACTCCTCTTACCTCAGCAGTACTATCGTTTCCCATATAGACTTGATCTCCTTGTCCTTGAGTGAAGGCACGAAACTCCTTGAACATGATCCTACTCGCACAGAAGTGCCGAGTTGCTCCAGTGTCTATGATCCATTCTTCCGTGCCAGTCACCACATTTGCTTCCCGCATCACAATCGCTGCAATGACTTCAGTCTCTTCCACCAAGTTTGCTTGATGCTTGTTCTCTTGTTGGACATTCTTTTGGTCGTTTGCGCCCCATCGGCGATAGCATTGCGCCGCGCGATGACCGTTCTTCCCACAGACGTAACAAGGTCCTCCTTTCCCTTTCTTCTGGTTGTTTTTGAACTTGTTGTTATTGTTGGCTTTGACTCCTCTTTTCCAGCCTTTATTTTGTCCACCACTCCCAGTTCTGGACCTATCACCTTTAACATCACTGGATTCAACCATGTTAGCTTTTAACGTACCAGAATTAGAAACAGACCTTTGTCGATAGGCGTCTTCTATGTTGATGTGATTGCCCATCTCTTCCCAGGAGTAATCCTTGGACTCATGTTTTACTTTGTTTTGAAACTCTCCCCAGGATTGTGGCAACTTCTCAAGTAAGGCATAGGTTTGTAGCACTTCACTTACCGGAATGAGTTCAGCTTCAAGGTCGGACACCAGATTCTCATATTCGTGCACTTGCTCGATCACTGGTTTCGTATCCACCATACGATAGTTGAGCCACCTCCCAACCGTGTACTTCCTCCGACCAGCATCATCAGCGCCATACTTCCTTTTGAGCATGTCCCAGATCTCCTTTGCAGATTTGTATTTAGCATAGATGTCTAACAGGTTGTCAGACATGTGATGCAGCAGAAGACCGCGAACCGTTTTGTTGTCCCGCTCGAACTTAGCCCGGATGTCTTGAGACTTGTCAGTTGTGACAGGTTCAGGTGTTACAGACGCAGGGGTTGAAGTGGAGCCGTCCTCTGTTTGAGGATTAGTGGAGTCAGCAGCTTTCGCTTGAGCAGGTTCAGGAACACACGTGAGAACGTATTCCAGTTCAGCAGATTC